TTCAATACATAAACTGGTGACTTTCAGGAAGTAGCTGCCAGTAGTTGTCATAATTGAAGACTTCGCATACATTGACGTAGATTTTATAAAAACAGAACTAAAATTTGAACCCCTCAGAGGAAAGCGGATAGGAGGTTTTACTTGTACTTCGAAAACTTACGACAGTGCAGGTCGTTAAATCGGCCAATAAGATTTTCTCAAGTTTAAACTGGCAAGTACTAGTGCCCGGTTGAGTTTAAACTGCTTCAGCCACTGAAACCTAGTTTATCCAAAGTCTTTAGTTTCAGTTATTGCAGTTGCCGTTGTCAGTTTGACTATAGACCGGTTCTCCTGCAAGGTGGAGTCATTTAAAACAACGTCTAGTTAAGTGCTCTGCATGTTTGTCAGAATAACTATTTGAAGTGGTAGAGATGCGCGCTTGAAAACCCTGAACACTATTTCTGCCCTCCATTTTAGCGCCTACGAAATCATTCGTCTAAAGGGTTACACCTCCTGGGCCATCGGCCTTGGTTGTGCTAATCTCTGTCACTCACTTGTTCACGATCGCCATGTTGTACTTCCAGTCTCAACAAATGTGAAGGTACGTTTTTCTACTTTTTACCTCCTCCCATTATGTTTGTGCAACGTACTGTTTGTCCATCACTTCAGCTTGGTTCGAAATTGCTCTGACCCATAGTGACGCTTCAGGATAACGGGAACAGTAGGTGACTATTGTCCCGAATGACTACGAAAAAAGTAATGACCACCTGCAAGTCATTCTCATGAAAAAACGTACCTATTTGTACCATTCCCCGTTCAATTCGCTCCAACCAATAGGAGTAGAATTTTCGAGCAATTTCTCGCAGACATGGGCTAATCAGGCTCCAAGTGTCTAACGCGGTCGCCACCAATGGCGGGACGCTTTCGAGAACGTGCTTGCCTCGCATAGGCGGAAGACACGCGCGTGCTTTCCGGTGAGAATGAATGACTGTTTTTGGTATTTGGACATCCTAAACAGCACTCGTTCCAAATGTTTTCACCTTAGGCATGTTTGACGTCAAGGTATCCAAACATAAAAGTTTCGTGGAGCTACCAAGAACAGGACTTACTTCTGCTGTTGAGTAAAACGCTGAAGACTCCTACCGTCAATCTAGTTGCCTACACACCATATTTTTCTGAGTTTTGGAGTCTTGCGGAGGCGTGTATCCTCGTGTTAGCGTGGAACCTGCTGCATTCTGTTAAATTGTTAGGTGAGGGATTAGCAGATTTGCGTAATTCAGTTAATCCAATTGTAAAACATTCGCGG